AGGTCATATAAACCATGAGGTAAGGGTGAGAGGTGGACCATGTGAAAAGCCTTATTCCCAAATGTTGGCCCCATCATCTATTAGAGTATGGATGACAACCACAGACTATTCTAGACAGTCCAGTGAAACACTAGCAGACTCGCAACCTGTAGGTGTTGTGAACGATGTGTTCACCCGGTGTACTTTAAACCTTGGCGATCATGCAGACTTGATGCCTAAACCCTGGTGACTATGCAGACTTAGTGCCTAAACCTTGGCGATCATGCATACTTGATGCCTAAACCCTGGTGACTATGCAGACTTAGTGCATAAACCTTAGCGATCATGCAGACTTGATGCCAAAACCCTGGTGACTATGCAGACTTAGTGCTTAAACCTTGGTGATCATGCAGACTTGATGCCTAAACCCTTGTGACCATGCAGACTTGGTGCCTAATCCCTGACGACTATATAGACTTAGTGCCTATTGTGTAAACCATGACAACGATGGACTTCGTGTCGATTCCTTAGGATGATCCTTAGGAATAAATGAACAATAAATAGTTGATCTTAGGGTAGATCCTTAAGAGTAAAGAAGATAATGGGGATGGGTAATTGGGTTGATTGTTTGATGTTTAAACATAATAATTATATTATTGTGGGTTGAAAACCCTATGTACTCACCAGGTTTCCCAACCTGACTCACCCAGTTTATTTATATCACAGGTGTTGATATGAAGCCACATTACATTGAGAGATTAAGGAGATATAAATCACTAGTGATAATGAATGTAAGTTCTGTTTATGCTTATGTTTTTGTATTGACGATGACATCCCAAATGTTTTAAAATGAATAAAAATACTTTTCTTCGGAAATACTTTGATAACGTATTTATGATGTTTTACTGGGAACAAATTCCGCACAATTTTTATTAAAAGATGTACTCTGATTTTTATAAAGCATAAACAAAATCGGTATTTTATGTCCGTGAAAATGGGGATGTCACAATCTGCATTCCAAAATGTGACATACATATTACACATGATAAGTTTAATTACATGATTCATATAGCTACCAATAATAGTCGCCTTAACCTGTCCGATTGTCTATAACATCAACACCCTAACTATTTTCATTCCAAACCATTTGTTTCTACTGAAAATCTGGTACTTTGAACTAAGCATGCAGTGTAATTCAAAGATTGAAAGATAATCTGCAATATGAATTTGTTAACTTCCATATTTTTAGGTTTAGTTTTTAACATGCATAACAAATTTCATAATTCTTACTTAAAAGTCAAAGATTTTTTATCAAGGTAATTTTTGGTTTATATAGCAGAAAATAAGAAGTTTTAGGGCTAATAATTGCAAAATCACAGCACCATGGTCATTCCAACCCACCAGTAGTGTTGTTTCTTTCTGTTATGAACAACACCAACATCAACACAAAGACGCCTGCAACAATCTCTATCTGCCAATTGATAATCATTGAACCTTCTATCGTTCTTAATTGTTGTCGAATATGCCTGTACACAAGGAAAGAGAGAAAAAGCGACAATTTAAGTAGTAATAAACGCTAACTAAATTCAATAGTGGAGGAAAAGTAAATAATAGAGGAAAAACTAGGATGTATACCTGAATTGGGTAGTGTTAACAGCGTGATAGAAGGCGGAGGCGGAGGTGTCGTCGATAGCATCATCTGGAGACCGTACGCGGAGGCGATCAACGAGAAGATGTGCATGAGTAAAGTAGGTGCGGTTGCGGTAGAGAAGATGGGAAACCTCTCCCGATGAAGAGAGGTTTTGTGGAGGTTATTGGGAACGAAGACGAAGCGATGGGAAGCTAAACGAAAGTCGGTGAGTGGATCCATTGAAGTAGATGATGAGCAGAGGAGGTGGAAGAAAGTATTGGGTATGTCGGTGGAAAAGAGAAGAAATATATGTGAAGGATTATCGGTGCATGGAAAAAACGTATTAAGCTTTTGAGGCGGTGGAGGAAACGTGGAAGGAGACATGCACCATCAATTTAGGGTAGAAATTCGGAGTTCTTTGAAGAAGACGGTGGAGGAATGATTCTTTTTGGAAATCGATGCAAGAAATGGTGGTGGTCTAATGAAGAGTCTAGAGATGGTGGAAAAGATTGGATTTGAAGTGGTGTAACATCTAAATTTAACCTGGGTTGACGAAAAGCGGGTACACGCCAGAAAATGGTGAAGGAAATTCAAAACAACACGTATACACAAAGAATATACAAAATGACATAAAATGACCCCCTAAAAGAAAGAGGAGACAGATTTGCAACCCCATCCATAATCAAGGGACCCATTCTGCCAAAAACTTAAAAACTTTAATGTTCTTAAGATGTCCCTTCTTATATATATATATATATGTTCGGGTTCATTTGAGACCATTCTAATTTTGTGAGACCAAATCTAAAAATAATTTTTAAATGCAAAATAAATGGAAAAATCCAAAAATTCTTTTTTTAAATATTATTTTCGGAACTTGAATTAACTAAAAAAAATAAAAAAAATTCTGTTTTTTTTTTTAAATAAGTTAAATATTCTAAAAAGAATATTACACTGACATATTCTAAAAAATAATTGTAAAATGCAAAATAAATGGAAAAATCTAAAAATTCTTTTTTTAAATATTATTTTCGGAACTTGAATTAACTAAAAAAATAAATAAATAAATAAAAATAAATTCCATTTTTTTTTCAAAAATACGTGAAATATTCTAATAAAATATTACACTGACATATTCTAAAAAATAATTTTAAAATGCAAAATAAATGAAAAAATCAAAAAAAAAATTTAATATTATTTTCAGAACTTGAATTAACTAAAAAAAATTAAAAATAATAAAAAATAATAAAAAAATGCATCTCACGGTCTCACAAAATTAGGGCGTCTCACATGAACCTAACCCTATATATATATATATATATATATATATATATATATATATATATATATATATATATATATATATATATATATATATATATATATATATATATATATATAGGTTTACAAGATATCTCAAGTTCTCAACTATGATCAACATATGATATTAATAATTTAATCACAAACTATGAAAATTAGTCAATTTTATATTTGAGTTCTCTTTTCAAAACGTCCAGTATTGGCAACATCTTCGTTATCGGCGGGCCTATTAGAAAATGAGGGGTGGTGATCACAAGACTATTAGCAACCTTTTATAAATATTTGCAAAAACTAGAAAAAAAGTATCTTAAAGATTGAGAAGGACACTACACCAACTATTATTAAAAATTCTTAAAAATCCTCAAGGATGTTTTTTTTTTTTTTTAAATTATTTTTTTTTTTTTTATTTTCTCTTTTGAACGGTTTCAAAATATTATCAGTTTCTTGATGTTTGGTTTGAAGCTGGTAAAAAAAATATAAATATGCTAGTTACCATCGTGTTATATGACCCATTATGCACCCAATCCCGAAAGTCAAACCACAACACAGATTTTGAGAGATCAAAACGATTAGTCTCTTTGTGTGTCCACAAAACAACTTTCTTCCTTTTTCCATTTCTTACGTGTCATGTGTTTTCTTTGATTCATTGATTGATAGCAATGACATAGGAAAGTCAATCTGATTAACAAGAGTACTAATACATGTTATGTGCTTTCAACTTTCAATAGATTAACAAACCCATAATAATTAGAGTTAGAACTATGTTCCTTGATGGAAGAGCATTTTGTATTTTATGTCAACTATAATGTATTGTATATTATAAAAGTCATAATAGGATAGTTAGTTTGTTAGACAGACTTATAGACATGGAAAAAACATATAAAATAATCAAATTTATATTTTTAACTTGGTGACTTCTTTAAACAAGTTATATAGGTAATTCATAAACTGAATGGAATTTAATTTTATTTAAATTAAAAATATAGTGCATTTAAATATTGGATAGTATTCGACACTTTGACTAAAGGTTTGTCCACTGAAATTCTTTTTATATTAGTAAGTGTTATAAAAAATTGTTAATTTAATAGGATATTCATGATGCAACCCTTCATTTATGTAGTAAGATGCAAAACTTGAAAACCTATAGGCCATAGGTTTTCAAAAGTACAAATCTTAATTGATGACTTTATTAGGAAGTTTGATAATATAGAGCAGATCGGGCAAACAATTAAGTGGTCCAATTTCAAACGAATATGTCCCAAGACGTAACTAAGTTAGTATGAGTTTGGATTTTGGTGTTAATAAAATCGACACACTTGGGTTTGAGTCCATGGCATCAGTATGAAACAACCCTCAAAATAGTACCTAAAACATGAATATGTGTGCAATTTAAAACTGATATGGGTCTATTTAAAACTAGTTATTTTGTGTCTTACTTGAGCAAACCAGTATTGTATGAAATCAGGTCGGATTCAAACCACTTTAAGGTTATAAATGTTTGATCATATGTAACTGATTTTTGGATTGGATTGGAAAAACTAGTTTAAAAACCAACTATAAAAACCTATAGACTAGCCATTTTGTTGCATCTCTATGAACTTGGGTGTCAAAACTTAACAAAATTCTCATGGGTGATAAAAAAACATATCTAATAATCAAAACATATTGTTTTTGTCATGTCTTATATGATTGCAATTATCAACGATATAAAATATAAACACATGGATATAAATATAACATTACCTTTCTATTAGATTGAGATTCACATCATTTATATTATTTATTATTTAATGATTAATAATTTATTCATTTAAATTTAATAAAGCCTCTTACTTTAAAAAATGTTTTGCTTTGACCAAATTTGGAAAAAAGATTCTAAAGGAGCACGCATAGCATATGAACTTCTGGGTGCTGACAGGACTGCCCCAAGCACACGTGTCTAACATCTACAGGCTCTGAAGCATTTATTAAACTCCAAGTCTAACAAATAGCCGACACGTGTAATCTTATAATGCAACTGATTGTAGCAGATTATTACTTTCTCTTATTCAAGTTTACAAGTAACGTAAAAACATTTACTCGTATTCGTCCCATTGAACGGAGAAAGTTCCAGAAGACCGACCTCATGTCACTACTTGATACTACCGGAGATGGTTTGACGGAGGAGCTGACTGGTGGCGCCGCGGCGTCTGACGGACCAATTCTACCTCCGCCAATGGAGATGCAACTGGAGGAAGGATTCACTCTGAGAGAATGGCGCCGGTGAGTTCGTGATATCTTAACTTTTTTTCCAGATTCTTACTTGTGGCTTCAATTGATAGCGAATTTAACAGTTTAAAGATCATATCAACTTCGGATTTGCAATAGTTGTTGAAAACTAAGAAAACATGTTTGGGATTAATTAGCAATTATATGTAATATGTTGAACCAAAATTAAAATTTACAGAAGGAATCGTATCCTTGAAGGAAGGGTTTGGATTTATCATAAATTTCTCACACTTTAGGCTGTGAATATCAGTAAGTAACAAGAAATCATAAAAGTATACAAGTAGAATTCTTGAATCCAATACAAAAAAACAGAGTTAGCTGTTTTCATATTTGTTATAGTAATTTTTTTAGCCAAATCTCAACATTCTCATGTCCTTTTATTCTTTGGTAAGAAGGAAATGAAGTGTTGTGGAATAAACTTGTGAATGTTGATATCTAGGAAAAATGCAATTAGGCTTGAGGAGAAAGAGATACAGGAGAAAGAATCCATGAAAGAAATAATTGCAGCTGCTGATAAATATAAAGCTGAGTTTCATAGAAATTGGAAAGCTAGATGCAACAACAATACCACTATCAATAGGGAAAAAGAGAAGGTGATGTTTGTTGTATTTTTAAAAATAGTTTAATCATTACTCAATACTTGCCATTATTATTATTATTATTATTATTGTCTTTATTATTATTATTATTATTATTATTATTATTATTGTCTCGTTAACATTAGTTACAATCACACATTAAAAGTCACATCAATGTCATTGTCATCATTGATGCTTGTGATGCAGTTGTATCTGGAAAGCCGAGAAAAGTTCCATGCAGAAGCTGGTAAGAATTATTTCAAAGCAATTGCCGAAATGATCCCAAAGGAAGTCCCAAAATTAGAGAAACGAGGGAAAAAAGCAAACGAGAAACCGACATCGGTTGTGGTGATTCAGGGTCCAAAGCCTGGTAAGCCTACTGACTTATCTAGAATGCGCCAAATTCTCGTTACCCTCAAATACAACCCACCTACCCATATGAAACTTGAAAAAGACACCAAACAACCCTAGTACGTCCTACCAAGCATGTTGCCATGACAAGCACATGATGCAGGATATGACATGTTATACTGTATTTGACATGTGTTGGACTGGACTAGAACTTATGTCAATATGAAAAAACTAGCTCTAGAATATTTGTTGATTCCTGGCCAATCCTTATAAGTTTGTTGAGTTTGTATATGATGGGTATTGAGGTGTGCTATAAAGGTTTTGTAATTTTAGGCAAGGTTCAAATGATTTAATGTATGTATGTGGAATGTATTTGTACATATAACTTAGAACATAATTTATTTTTATCGGGTTTTGGCAATTTATTATGTTATTGTTATTATATACAAAATAGAGACATTCTAACAAATTTCATTCCTTGATTAAGATTTGTATGTTTTAATTGTTGTGTTGTATTGCAAATTTATAGTCAATCATTGCAAATTTGCAATGATTCTAACTTAGCAAAAGTGGATAAAATATTAAAGTAGGTGAAAATCATGGTCATTTTACCTTAAAAAAACCATAGCACTTAAAAAGGGATCTCACCTAAGTTAGGGATGTCCACAATTTGGTTAACGAAAAACATGGGTTGATTATAAATAATATAATGTTCATAATCAACCATCTTACCTAAAGTAATTGGTATTATGTTTGAAACCATTACAAAAGTGTTTAGAGGATGAAGTGTTTATAAAATGTTTTAAATAAGTGAGGATATAAATATTTGATTATTGAAAAAAAAACTTTTAATAAAGTTTATGCATGAGAGATGATTTATAAATATATGTTTTTTTAATGGAAAATGAAAACATAATATGACAAAGTAAATAAACTCTTAAATAGTTAATTCTTATGATGCTCTTATATCATTACATCTATGACTTTTGTAACATATGATCAATATTTTAGATGAATACAAAGTTAAAAATACAGGTTATAATTATAGATGTTAACTTTAGTTAAGAATTAATACATATAAACTGTTATCATTTTATTAGTTTTTGTAAAGTCATTTATTATTTTATATGAATAAATATAAAAATAGCTCTGTTTTGTTGATATATGTATTTAGATAAATTATTAAAAATTATCTTTGAACTTATCGATTTATGACGACTACAACGGTGTAATTACTTTCGAAACTTAATGATATTTAGGGTATCACGTTCAATGAAAAATAACATACAATTTATTAAATTTTTGATGATTTGAACCTCCGTCGAGCTTCATGTTTCAGTTGTATAATCTACGGAAAACATATTTTATAACAATATAAAATGTACATTTTTAACGATATAAAAATGGATTTTACACCAAAAATATGTCATACTGAGACTAATTTGTATCGTTATGTAGATAAAACTGAGACCACCTCAATTTTATTTTTTATTTATTTATATCAAGTATTGTGTAATAAATGTAATAATAGAAAACCCGACTAAATTTCTTAAATTAATTATAAAGATAAAATAAATGCCTTTTAAAATATTAAAATTAGTGTAACTGTCACTTACAAAATACAATTGTAAGTTGTTACAGAATGTAAAATTTTCAAATGTTATATTTAATAAATAAAAACTATTTTATTGAAAAATGTTTATTAATGGTAGGGCTGAACATTTATACTAGACTGGATCGGACCGACTCTTGGATCGGACTGGCTTTACAGAAATTGGTGGACCTTGAACCGAACCTATTGAGGCTTACGAGGTCTAGGTCTAGGCGCGGTTCTTAATTGTAGGGGTGATCATTTGGACTGAACCAGACCGGACCGAATCTTGGACCAAACCGATTTCGTAGAAATTGATGAATCTTGGACCAAACCTATTGAGGCTTTCTAGGTCTCGTCCAGTCCGGTTCGAAGGTCCAAATGCTCATCTATAATTCATGGTAGGGATGTAAATCGGTCCGAAACCAGACCAACCTAGACTTGAATCGAAAGAACTGAAAACCGATTAAGAAGTGGACGAGAAACTGAGAACGAGACCGAATACCACTAATCGGTTTCCATTAGTTTCGGTTCTACTACTTATGCTATCTAAGAAGGTGTTCGGTATCGGAACTGGCTTGAACCGAAAGAACCAGAAACCAAAAATGATGAATTGGAGGAACTGGATTGAATACCACTAATCGGTTTCATTTTCAATTCGGTTTCATTTTTCGGTTAAAAAGCTCATCCCTAATTCATGGTATGTTTGGCAAGAGTAACTAATAGCTAGTAGTTTAGAAGTTGTAATTTTTATTTGTTTAGAAATATTTATAAAAAAATATTAGTAATCTTTTATTTTTGAAACGGTAAATCTAGCATACTCCTTAAATCCACCTATGTCCACAACTAGACTTGAACTCTTAACCTCAAAGAAGAAGAACACTGGATATCACTGGGCTTGAAGCCCTTTGGTATAAAATTAGCTAAAACTAAAAACCAACAAAAATTGAGTTAAAACAGTTTTTGAATTATGTGTTTGTTGTTTAAAATAAAGGTTTACAAATTTGTATGACATCTTTTTGTGACACTAACATTAAAATTTATATTATGAAAAAAGTATAAACAAATAAAAAGTTCGTATAAGAATAACTCAAATTAATTGTGATCTTAATAAATTAATTATTTTATTAAATAAATAATTTCATTAATAACATATTAAAATACCAATTATACACACTCGTTTATAGAAATGTTACACATATATTTGAATAAACATTATACATACATTTAAAGAAATATTACACATGGTACATACATTTGAAGAAATATAACGCATGCATTTAAAGAAATACTATATATTCATATGTTTATCGGTTATAAATGATTAAAAAGTATTAAAATTTTAAATACATTTAAAAAAGTTATCAAATTTATTTTATCTAAAAATAATTAAATATTCTTGGATACAAAATTACTACAAGTCAAATAAACTAGATATATATAAAAAACTAAACTAAAAGGAACAAGTATAATAATATAAAATTACCCCCAAAAAAAATAATAACACTCGAAATCTTATTAGAGTAAATTATACAAATGGTCCGTTTAGGATAATTTACATGGTCCTTAACTTATTTTTTAATTTGAAAGTTTTTACTGTTTGTTTTTCTTATGCGCTTGATCCTTGTCTTTACCTAAAAAGATTATTTTTGCAGTGAAATTTTAATTTATTTAAATAAACACACCCCAACCCCACCACTCACATTATCTTACCTACCGCATAATTTTTTCTATATTTAAATAATAGTTTTTTTAGGTAAAATAGTGACCAAACGCATAACAAAAACAAACAATATGGACTGAACATGTAACAAAAATAAATAATGAGACATTTCGAATTAAAAAAATAAGTTAGGGATCAAGTTCGCAAATTACCACAAACCATAGGGACTATTCGTGTTTATTAATAAATTATTTATTTATAAAATATAAAACATAATTATGCAAATGGCTCTTATGGTTTTGCGTAATTAGCGTGTTTGCTCTTTAAATTATTTTTTTTACTTTTGTTTTTTGTTTTTATTATGCGTTTGATTCATACTATTTGTTTTTGTTACGCGTTTGATTCATATCTTATCAAAAAAAATGATAGGGTATGTAAGTTAAGGTGAGAGGGATGAGGTTGGGGGTGTGTATATTTAAATAAAGAGTAAATTACATCAATGGTCCCTATGGTTTAGGATAATTTACGTGTTTGGTCCCTAACTAATTTTTTAAACTCGGAAAGTCCCTACTATTTGTTTTTGTTACGCCTTTGGTCCCTACTATTTGTTTTTCTTACGCACTTGATCCCTATCTTACCTAAAAAGACTATTATTTAAATAGGAAAAAATAGTAGGATAGATAAGGTAAGGTGGAGGGAATGGAGTTGGGGGTGTGTTTATTTTAATAAATTAAAAAATCAATAGAAAAATAGTCTTTTTAGGTAAGAAAGGGACCAAACGTGTAATAAAAACAAACTGTAGGGACTTTTCGAGTTAAAAAAATAAGTTAGGGATCAAACGTGCAAATTACCCTAAACCATAGGGACCATTCGTGTAATTTACTCTTAAATAAATTAAAAATCAAAGGCAAATAGTCTTTTTAAGTTTAAAAATGCGTAACAAAAACAAACAGTAAAACTTTAAAAGTTAAAAAAATAAATTAAAGATCAATATACAAATTACCTTAAACTATAGGGATTATTCGTTTAATTTACTCCAATAATAAAAATACAAAACCTTATTATGTAACGTTTTAGGGACTATTTATGTAAATTCAATGTTTATTTTTCTGGAAATAGATTTGGCAACTTAACGTTATCCGATACTTTCCTTTCTTCGTTGTCCCTCCCTAAAACCCTGTCGAGAAGAACAACTTGCAGGTCCAATTGAACCTTCCATAAACCCCTTATTGTTACCAGATTCATGCTACGATCTGCAGAGTTTTAGTGGCTCATTGTAACTTGTTTCGCTTTGTTGCATCTTAATCATCAATTAACTTTTGGGTATTGTTTTTTTCACCTTTCTCGTGTACTAAAATCTTTATCGCTGTTGTTTCAGATAGAATCGAGAACTATGATTTCTGGATGTGGCTGTGTAACCAACAAAACTCCGCTGTTATTTCAGGTTAGGTTAAACTATTTTATAGCTCTGTTTCGAATTATTAAGATTTGTTCGAGTTTTGAAGGGACTCTTAGCAAATCGACTGAAATAAACACTCTAATTGTATATCTGTTCAACTTCATTACACCAATTTGAAGTCCCAATAATCAGATTGGGTAAAAGTCACTTCGATTTATTGGATTCACACACCATAAGAAGTGGAGTTTCTTTCTTCATCAAACACTTGAGTGTTCTTTAAGTAGATTTACTTTGAATATTTATGTGTAAACCTACAAATAACACATTCTGAAAGACACCTGTTTCATTACAGTTAACATTCTACTAAACTCAAAGAAAGAAAACTCATTATAAATTTGCGAATTCTACAGACATCTCTTGCAGGTTCATTTCCATCTTCACTATGGCATTCAAAACTCAGATTGAACACCACTAAAAGGGCTCCATTATTTCCTTGTGTAAAGTGTGAAAAAACAGATGATGAGAAAGAGAAACCATCTTTTGAGAAACTATCTGTTGAGAGGGCCCCATATCATAGTTACAAAGACTCAATATCCGGGCAGGTTGAGCCAGCTTCAGGTGCCCGGGCAAGTATCCTCGGGCAGGATTATTTACCAGAGGGCACAGTCGGTCAAGCCCGGGCAGCCGGTGCCCCTGGGCCCACTGACACATCATCTGTAGCTCCATCTTATGGTCAAAATCCAGGAAGCAGAAGGAAAATGAAAATGTACAACAAGTCCTCCTCAACAACTCCTGCTTCCAATTCCACTGAAACAAATACAGTTTCAGATCAAGAAGACGATTTGAGTGAAGATTTAGATCTTGATTTGACTGAAGGATTTGAAGAATCAAAAGACGAGTTTTCTGACTTTGTGGTTTATCAAAAGGAATCTGAAATGGAGAAGTTAAGTGGATATGAACTCGACAAAAAGATTGGAAACCCTCACCCTTTTATTGATCCTCAAAAGAGAAAACCAATTAAGGAGCCTCTTACAAGTGAAGAGTTATGGTGGAATTGGAGAAAACCAGATAAAGAACAATGGTCCAGGTGGCAGAAGAAACGACCCGACGCTGAAACAGTTAGTTAAATTACTCATATACCCTTGAAAATTATTGTGAAATTACTTATACACCCTTATTGTTTGACTTCAGGTGTTTCTCAAGGCCATGGCAGAAACCGGTCAAATTAAGCTTTTTGGTGAAGAGCCAACTTTGACTGAAACTGCTCTTTACAGAGCTAGAAAGCATTTATATAAAGAAGAAAGGTATAAATCTTAATTGAATTCTTCTTGAATCATGGAATGTAATCACTGATTCCATTCCAATGAATGATGTAGGCTGCAGGCTGAACGTGAGAGATTGCAGAAAGAAGGTCCATTAGCATACTATTCAGAATGGGTGAAAGCATGGAAAAAGGACACATCACGTGAAGCTGTTGAAAAACATTTTGAAGAAACTGGAGAAGATGAAAACACACAGTTGATAGAAATGTTTTCATGTCAAACAGCTGCTGAATATCGCATAATGATGGGAACTGATCATCGGATTTCAAGAGATCCATTGGCTATGAGGATGAGAGAGGATCAAATTAAGCAAAGTAAGTTTTTTCAATTATTAAGTTAATGCATATAATTAATTTAACTTTTGACATATTTGCCCTTGGTTTTGTAGTATGGGGTGGAGATCCGGTTTATCCAACAGTGAATTATATCCAAGATCCAGATCAAGTGATTGATTTCAGAGGCCCTGATTTTCATGAACCTACACCTAATATTTTAGCTTATTTGCAAGAGGTTAGTATATTTTTGTTTTTAAAAAAAAAAAAAAAAAAAAAAACTTCCGTGTATAATTTGTCATTTATTAAGCTAATAGTTACTTTTGTATTATTGATCAGAATGGGAATATAACATCGAAGGAGGAAATTGATAAAATATTGGCCTCAGAGAAGGTTGAAAAAGTAAAGGTAATAACTAACAAGTAAAAACTAATAAATAAGCTTCTGTTATTATTATTATTTTGTTGAATGAATTATTTTGAATGATTCATTTCACTTGTGTAAAAAGGTAAAATCACCGGTTTCTGATGATGAAGCTATGGCTAAAGCTGTTGATATTGGTGAAAAGGAGGTAGTTTATTGTGCTATGAGTGTTTTTACTTATTATTGTTATGATTGTAAATATAGTTATTATTATAATTTATAAGAATAATAATTATTATGTATTTCCTTTTAATAGGATAGTGATGATGAGGGAAAATTTGAGGATGATGAAAATATTACACGCAATTGGAGTGTATTGAAAACTACTCCCGAGCTTCGCAAATCAAAGGTAATCTTTTTAATTTATATTTTGAAATTTCTTTACAATTTTATATATTAAAAAAAAAAAACAATCTGATTTCCACATTTTATTGTGTAGCCAAAACCTACAAAAGGGAAAGGTAAGATGACATTGGAGGAAGCGATTGCTGATTCTGAAAACTTGACTGATTTCATGTTGGACTTTGATCAAGATAAGGATATTGGAACATAATTTTTGTGAGGTACATTATCCATTTCACATTAATTATAAAAATAAATAAAAGAAAAAAAAATTGAATTTGTTGATTATGAGCATTAAATGTGGTTGTAAATTGGATAATTTGTTGATTCTCTCAGATGTGGTGTGGATACTTTTGATAGATGAGTTGTCTGTGGGACCGGTTGGTGTGGATACTTTTGATATTCCATTATTTGATAATTGTACAAGATTCATTTTTATAATGGAAGATTTTGTTGTTGTAGATTTAGAATATCATCCATGTAGAATGCAACAATTTATTCATAAAAAGCATGTTAAATAAGTAGTTTTTGATAAATTGTATACATAATTTGTCAAACACAAAAAATGATTTATAGACTTATTGTATTTTGGTACCACAAACCAATCCAAACATTTTTTCCTAAACTTCATTTTGACATTTTTGTAGAAAAGTATAAGCCATTTCTAATAAGCAATCCTAAACACACCCTAAATGCCAAACATGAGACATGCTAACATTCAATTCCATTTAAGGATGCTTTTATTGTTAACTTGAGAGTGGAATTACAACTTCTGAAATGACAAAACATGGCCATAAATGTCTTATAGAGTTGGAGGAAAAACACCCACTAAACAAAGTCTAAGAAAATAAGTAACCACTACTACAAAACTTCGGGAAATAACTACCCACCCATACATGACTTCTATGAACAACATTAACGCAAAACTACGAAAGATAAAGTTTTAAGTAAATAAGTCGACAAAATATTGTTCATACTTCATACCAATGTTGTTGAATAAGTCGGCAAAATATTTCTTTGATGCGACATGATGTCCCCATTTTCATAACTTAGTTATAGGCCAAAAAAGTGTTTCAACCTTCCAAGATCTTTCATATGGAAACGAGTGTGTAAGGTCTCCTTTAACCGGATTCATCAACATACACTATAACTACTGCCATTTTATCTCCAACTTTCTTCACAAGCAGACTAGCGCCAATAATCGTTATTAAGTACCGGTTTCAAGAAATTCACATATCTTCCCGAACCGATAGTGCGTATTCGACTACTCGCCTATCTGCCATGGTTGTTGATTGTAAACTTCAACATCAATAGTGTTAAGTGCGATTTTAACTTCGTCGAGGTTGAGATTAACCTTAGACGAATCAAGTTCTTCTTTGATCTTTCTTTGAGTTTGAAAGCACTACACGATTACCAACCATAATGACGATATTTCATCAAATTAATATCATGTTTTTGGATACATAACACTTACCTATAGTCGGATCACAACACCTCCAATTATTTCTTTCTTGTTCAAACATATTAAAATCCTAGTCATGTGGTCATGAATGTCGCATGCAGTGACTAGTGACTCCTGAGAATTACTTAACCCATGTAGCCATGAAAGTTCGTCAACAATGACTCAAGGACATGAGTCATAGCCTCATGTTCGCAACGGAGATTAGTCGGTGTGCGAAAGCTGGCTCAGAAAGCCTCGTTAGGGAAGTGAAGTTCCCTTGAAAAAAATTCCAAATGTTTCTTTCTTGGTCATACCCCACAAAATGCAACAAACTACTTTCTTCTCCATCTTATGGTGAAGATGACTTGGTATGAACACAAAATTAGAACAAAGACATAAGAATGTGCCAATTAAAGTGGTGGCTTCGCTTTTGGAACTTTGATTTCTTCTAGGGTAATTGGTGAGCTTTTCCATATTGGCAACCTACACATACAAGCTCACCTATAGAACAGGTAATCCCTTGACCATCTTCTTTCTCATCACCGGTTCCAACTTATCATAGCTAACATGGCTCAACCACATGTGCCACAAATCCACATTTCGATTCTGTTTTATCTTTTCAACGTTTGTTGATTCAGCCGAGAGGACATATATACTCACTTCTTCGCCCTTGTAGAATTACCTTGATGGAGTTTCAAATTCCTTGTAAACTTTCACGTCATTCGGGTTAAACACAACATAATGTCACACTATAGTCATTTGCAACACTAAGAGTGTGTGTCCTTTTGTTTCTAGTATGTAATAAAATCCCCTAGAGTGTTAGTTCTTGTTTGTTGCTATTTGGAGAGAAACCAACATCATCAATATTGGCTATATTTAGTTTAGAATTGTCTTCAATTACCTTTATTGGCGGTACTTGCTTGGATATGTCACCATGTAGTTTGGGACCCGACTGAAGTTAGACTTGAACTTGCTCTTTCCGTTACTCGCATACATAGCTTCTTCTTCCAACTTCAAGGAGACCCTGCTCACTTGCTTAGCCGTGCTTCTTGGCCCTCTAGGCAGGTTCGCGATCTCAACAAGAGATGGCTAGGACTCAAGGTTTTCAAGATCACGATCTTACCCAAGCTCATTTTATGTTTGTAAGATCGGATCAGGATCGAAAGATCCTACCAAAATAAACTTATATTAAATTTTACTCGTAAGGTCATGGGTGCAAAGTATATGTTATAATTTGATGTCAAGATGATGTCAATATGGAGTCCACTTTATCTTTTTAAACACGAATCATAATTTTTATTGCCGCAAACCATAAAAATGAGGAAGAAAACAATGAGTGTAAATTGCTTGATTCGAGATGAAATGAAGATGCTCTATGAGGCTTCTTGCAACTTGCAATGCTTGATTTCTAGTTGAATAGATTACTTTTGAAGTTCAACTAGGGCCGACAAATATATATCACGTAACACCAACTAACATGTCACCAATCAAATTGCAAAATCATGGTATGGTAGTGGTATAAAGTTTTTGATACCATAGTAGTACCATACCAACCACTATATATATATATATATATATATATATATATATATATATATATATATATATATATATATATATATATATATATATATATATATATATATAAACTTTTAGTATGTTTAGTGCTTATGATTTTACGATTTCGTTATTATCATTTACCGAATTAGTAAAGTTTAACTTTTTAAACTTATATTGGCATGTCCAATTTTTCTCCACAACTTTAATTTATGAACCCGTTATAGAAATAATATAATCATTTTTTATTGAATTTTCAATCTCTACATACAGACTTAACTCCGCATATGGAAACATTGGGGTATAATCATGTCACATTCGGCCACCAAAACAAGTCTATTTATGAGAAGTTGTAGCTTTGTATCGTTTTTCAAGCAACGTGTCTTATTCTTCCTTTGGAGCGACAACGTCTCTAATGTGTTCCAACACGTCTTCATCCATTGTCGTACTTAGACTGAACATTATCTTGTATGCTTGTGTCCTTCATTTCTCTTAAGACCCCATTTTTGTCTTGCTTCTAGTTGTCTTGTCTCAACACGATTAAGCACTTCCCATAGATCTTGCCCCTATAAGTACGACATGATACATGCTACTAACGTATTGTAATTTTGATGGTTGAGTTTCTTGACACTGCTAATTACTTTAAGTTCAACTATGAGTTTGGCTCTAATACCGATTTGTTAACTTGAGAATGGAATCAAAACTTCTTACACACAACAAGAAGGTTACATGACAAGGTACTTCTGAACATGAAAAAACATGGCCATAAATGGCTTAAATAACCATAAACACATAAATGTAAAGATAATGATATGCATGTTAATAAACTTCCACACAACCATGCATGCAAAGGTGTTGCCATGTCAAATATCATAAATTTGCAATTTGCCTTTCCCTTAATATTTCCATACAAGAAGATCGACACGTCTCTGATTTCCCCATTTGGAAATGGCAAAAAAAATTAGACAAAATGATCGACTTAATATAATATAATATATTATGTATCTATATATATATATGACTTCCACTAATAGCATATCCTAGAAATTAAAAGGGCTATAACAGTTAAGAACTGTACAGAATAAGAAGGAAGAGCGAATCACATTCATGCATCATCTGCATCATCACTTCCACCCACCTGAACCTCCTGCCCCAATACATACATGCTCCCATCTGGACCCAATACCTTAAACCTACTCAAAAAGTCAAAAAGTCAAACCACCATTTTTATTCTTACACCAAAACACTCTTTTCTATAATTCACATTTCATACCTCTCAAGAATGAACTTCCCTTCTTTGTACTTTTGTCCCTTTTCATGTGCTGACTCCTGAAATTAATGCAAACAAAAAAAAAAAAATCACTTAATGTTTATTTGAAAAAAGAGAAGGGGTGTAAATGTAAATAAATCTCACGTATTTCCAGCCAACAATGGAACCACAACCAACACAGAATATGTCAACAACTGTATGCATTCCAGTTATCATCATCCTTTCTTCTTTCTCTCCAACAGTCACATTCACACTGAAAAAAAAAACATCAAAATGATGACATGTCACTGTTTTCTAATTCTATGTATGAACACTACATTTTATTTTAGAGCCAAAAAATAAGAACACTTACACCTTGTCAAACAGATAAGCCTTCCCATGTCGACAGTGAAATGCCTGTTATAAAAACAATAAAGATATTAAAAACCCACAAAAACAAAATCAAAGGGATATGAAAAGATTTTGATTTGAATGAAATTACCAACTAAAAATGGCAAACTAAATAGTAAATACAACAAAAAGAATGAATTTTTAGGTCAAAAAATCCATGCCATGTTGACATAGTGTGATTACACTCTTCAATTTTGAGATAAAAAATATTAGGGTATTTTATCATTTAGGGTATCTTTCTTCACTAGTGGTGAGTGGTGATCCATGAGAAGTTAACATTAATACAAACCACATAGCCATGACAATCAGGATCATATGTATGCTTAAATCAACATTTCTAACCCTAAAAAGAAAGAAACAATAAAGTAAAATTCTAACATCTTGCTAAAGTAAGTTCTATCAGATTATAGAAATTGTAGAACCCTAAAACGTTACGGAGATATAAACGAATATTTACAAGATGGGGAAAACATTTTTCATGTTGAATTCATACCATTTCGTTTGCTCATACACGTAAACAGACGCACACATTGTTGATCACATACGCATAATTGATAAAACACATTTGAATTGGGAGTGTACCTTAGATATGATGTCATCGGAAAGGGCTAAATGGGTTTTGCAATGCTTGCAGCTGTAGATGCTCCCATCGAGAGTTACCACAAACAGCCGACCCATTTCTTTTTCCTTCTCTCTCTTACTCTCTATAAGATTTCATAGAAAAAGAGGGACGAAAAGATTTCCCGCAAAAGAAGATCCCCTCGTCAGTGAGAAACGATTATCGATTTTGATGATTAAAAAAAAAAAAAAAAGGAACATGAACATGAAATGAATTTGTGTAAAGAAGATTGAAGGGAAATGCGATCGTTTGGTTTACCTTTAGCAGAAGTGGTTACAGAGAGAGAAACAGCAGAAGATCATGCCAAATTGCCGATTG